GAAAAAGCCCTTAACTTTAACTCCTGGTGCCGGTGTTCAACAATACAAGAAAACTTTTTTGGATCTTTGCAACCATAGTTAAAAACAAAAGACTTATTATTTTTTGAATATTTTACCTTTATATATTTAAAATGCCATTTAACCAAAGAAAAAATCAACCCCCAAAAAATGAGGTTCGCTTGTCACCTCTGACACGCGTGTCATAGGTTCGCCCATCACTGCCCCTAGACCCAGGGCCAGCCCAGGCCTGTTTTCCAGGTAGGGATCTTTTATTTGACGGGCGGCCCCTATGCTGAGATTAAGCCTGACGGTAGGGAGCAAGAAGGCTGGGGTCTGGTCAGGTTATCTGTAAAAAAACAAACCTATTGGACGATCTGATTTTTCAAAGCTTTAACCCAGACCCTCACATTCTGGGACCAGTGACTCAAAGTCGTAACATGATTCTCAGGGGATCTGTTTGCCGGGGACGTTTCTGAAAAGGACGCTAACTCCCGCTGTGTGCTTTCTGCTCCTCCACAGACGTCAAAAGTGAGTACAAGGAGATGGAAAAGCTGCACAGGAGCCTGCGGGAGGTTGCCGAGAACGCAGTGCTCCGGAGAGGCATGCAAGACTTCCTCCTGAGAATGTCCCCCAGCAAAGCTGGCCCCCCCAGAACATAAATTTAATTCTTGGCACCAAGTGGACGAGAAACAACCCTGGAGCCAAATAATGAGAATTACTTCTGTTTTGTAAAATCTAATAAAAACCATCTCCCAACTGTTTGGGCTTTAAATAAACTATAAAACTCAACGGATGGTTACTGGGGGCAGAAGCGGATGACTGAGCAACCTCATTTCATTTTGATTCCATAGCCAAAAAGTCATCTTGACTCCTTCGTGGGGTCCTAAAGCTTTAGGGTCAAGAAACTTGTGTTTCACCCAAGAAAAAATATCTGAACACTGAAAAAATGTAAATATTATGGGTGAAACCATTGCAAAATGAAGTTTTAGGGACTCCATTTTATTGACCATTTTAATACTGATGAGACTTTTGGGTAAGGAGGTAACACTGTGCCGTGGAAGCAACATGGGTTTGAGAGTCAGCCGGACAAGAAACCTGGCTTTGTCACCTCTCAGGAGTGTTCATTAGAGTCGGGGCTTCTCAAACATTGATCTCAGGCTCCTATGCTCTTAAAAATTATTATAATTTATGTGAGTTTTACCTATTGCTACTATAGTCAAAATTAAAAGTGATCAAAGTTGTAAATAATTATTTACTGATCTATTTGAAAGTTACAGTAATAAGCCTATTATATGTTCATATAAATAACATGTTTTATGGAGAAAAAAACTTTCAAAATAAAATTATTGAGAAGAGTGCCATTATTTGACACGTTTGCCAATCTCTTTATTCTCTGACTTAATGGAAGAATCTCCATCATTAAAATGTCCATACTACCCAAAGCAATCTATAAATTCAACGCACTTCCCATTAAAGTACCAACGGCATACTTCACAGATCTAGAACGAACTCTCCAAAAATTCATCTGGAATAAAAAAAGACCCCGAATAGCTGCAGCAATCCTGAGAAAGAACAAAGTAGGTGGGATCTCAATACCAGATATCAAGCTGTATTACAAAGCCACTGTTCTCAAAACTGCCTGGTACTGGCACAAGAACAGACATATAGATCAATGGAATAGAACAGAGAGCCCAGAAATGGGCCCAAACCAATATGCTCAATTAATATTTGACAAAGGAGGCAAGAACATACAATGGAGCCAAGATAGTCTCTTCAATAAATGGTGTTGGGAAAATTGGACAGATATATGCAAGAAAATGAAACTAGACCACCAACTTACACCATACACAAAAATAAACTCAAAATGGATAAAGGACTTAAATGTAACATGGGAAACCATAAAAATTCTAGAAGAATCCAAAGGCAACAAAATCTCAGACATATGCCGAAGCAATTTCTTCACTGATACAGCTCCTAGAGCACTTGAAACTAAAGAGAAAATGAACAAATGGGACTACATCAAAATAAAAAGCTTCTGCACAGCAAAAGAAACCATCAACAAAACAACGAGAAAACCCACTGCGTGGGAAAACATATTTGCAAATGTCATATCTGATAAGGGCCTAATCTCCAAAATTTATAGGGAACTCATACAACTTAACAAAAGGAAGATAAACAATCCAATCAAAAAATGGGCAAAGGATCTAAATAGACACCTTTCAAAAGAGGACATTCAGAAAGCCAAGAGACATATGAAAACATGCTCAAAGTCACTAATCATCCGAGAGATGCAAATCAAAACAACAATGAGGTACCATCTCACACCTGTCAGACTGGCTATCATCAACAAATCAACAAACGGCAAGTGCTGGAGAGGATGTGGGAGAAAAAGGAACACTTGTGCACTGCTGGTGGGAATGCAGACTGGTGCAGCCACTATGGAAGACAGTATGGAGTTTCTTCAAAAAACTAAAAATGGAACTCCCATTTGACCCTGTGATCCCACTTCTAGGAATATATCCCAAGAAACCAGAAACACCAATCAGAAAGGATATATGCACCCATATGTTCATAGCAGCACAATTCACCATAGCTAAGATCTGGAAACAGCCTAAGTGCCCATCAGTAGATGAATGGATTTGAAAACTGTGGTACATCTACACGATGGAATACTATGCTGCTGTAAAAAAGAAGGAACTCTTACCATTTGCAATGGCATGGATGGAACTGGAGAGCATTATGCTAAGTGAAATAAGCCAGTCAATGAAGGAAAAATACCCCATGATCTCACTCATTCATGGATAATAAAGACCATTATAAACTTATGAACAAAAATAGATACAGAGGCAGAGCTGCCTCAAACAGACTGTCAAACTGCAGCGGGAAGGCCGGGGAGGGTAGGGGGGCAGAAGGGGGGGGGTAAGAGATTAACCGAAGGACTTATATGCATGCATATAAGCATAACCAATGGACATAAGACACTAGGGGGTAGGGGAGGCCAGGGGATTGTCAAGGGCGGGGGGAAAAAGGAGACATATGTAATACCCTTTGTAATACTTTAA